GTTAGAATAAGAACACAACCCAAGTGTGGCTTAGTGCACTGGTGTTAATCTCTGTTCTAGAGGAAAAGTGAAAGGAAATGAATGGGAAGCTTCAGGAAGCACACCTCTTTCAAACCTGAACAAATCTTTGGAGATTTCTAAAGCCAAATATTTGAACTCCTGTAATTTTAGGGCAGTGCTTGCCTCAAGGGAGTTCAACCTACAAGTTTTTCAATTTTTCAGTGTTATTGGAAATAGATGCCTATGTATCTGTGCTTAGTGATAATATAAAACTAGTGAAATTAGGTTTGTGCTTTTGGAGAAGAAAGGGAGATAAACATTTCTAGCAGGAAATGGTTGTTACATTAAATAACAGATTTTTAGAAGTCCTATGGTGCTGCCAAATCAATACTGAAACATCACCTACAAAATGCATACTATTTTGTAGCACTGTTTCAATGTTCAGATTTTAGACTTAAATGCTATAAATGTTGGGGCTCTAATTTCACCTTACCTCTGTCAAAATTGTATTGCTGAGAGATGATCTCCCCCCAGTATTTAGCACACTCTGCAGACAGCTTCTTTGGTTTGTCTAGTCGGCGAATTGCTAATGCTTGAATATGTTTTTGGAAGGCCTCCTCTGTCATGTCTTCTATGGACTTTTCCATGGTAATTAAGAAGGCTTCCACCCTGCTTTCCAGGTAGTGAGGAGGCTTTTCTGACTGGATGATGAATCGCAAGCCCTGTATGCCATTGGCTCGACGTGGCCCACTGAAGACAATATAGCCTGAAACACAACACCAGTAAGTCAAGATCTTGATGTCTAAAACTCAGGTCACTTTTAATCTCTCAGGGGAATAAAACCTACTATAGAACTTTAGATTATTTACCTCAACATCAACAGTTAAGAGAGTCTCAGTTTCTAAGGACTGAACAGATTAGCTTCCTGAAGAGTAGTTAGAAAGTTGTGGATGACTTTTTCTTAGAAAAAAAAAATTCAACCATATTCATCAAACTCCTCACTCTGTGAGCTAATCCCCATCAATCTAAACTGAAGTTATTCCCACTCCCATGAAATGCTGCACTCATTTTCACCCCCTACTCATTGTCCTAATTCTCTTTGCTTAACAGCTAAAGTCTTTATATGAACCTAGCTCTAATACTGCATTTCTTGTTAGATAACCTGTTCTTGGGCCACTGGTATCTTATGAGCCCACACACTGCCTCGTTTCAACACCTTTTCTAAAATGAGCTCCTTTCTTGCTTCCTTCAGCTGCTGCACACTGATCTACCACCTCTCACAACTTCAGGGCCCCTGGGTCCTACTTCCAAGGAAGTCACTATCTTTAGCCTAGCTTTATAGTCTGAATACTCATATAGTAAAATTTACCATATTGTACTATAATATTCCTTTATAGGTCTGTCATCTGATTTGATTATGATCTCCTTAAAGGGAAGGACTATCCCTAACTTACCCATTTGTCTAGCACCTAGCATGATAAATATTTTTAAAAAATGCTAAGTACCTGGAGACTCACCCAAATCTTTTTTCATTGGTTTTTCCCTGCCATTATGGGGGCTTCTTTGAACATCTCCCCTCATTGATCAAACCTGCCAAGATCTTTAAGTATTTTTAACAGTGTCTAAAATTCTGCAAACACTTACTGAGTACCTTCTATGGTATGTGTCTGGGTTTGGGATATAGAGAATAGTAATGATTCTGGTCCTCCTGAACCCCAAACTTTGGTGACTCTAAGCTCCTCTGGAAGGCTTGCTTCCTACCTTGCTACACATAAGTCTGTTCTTATTATCTTCTACTCCCTAAGATGTCTTCTTTTTTTGGTACCGGGGATCGAACTTGGGTCCTTGCACTTGTGCAGCAGGTGGCGAAACCACTGAGCTAAATCCCCAGCCCCTAAGATGTCTTCTTTATAGACGTGTGTGTAATATGAATATAGTGCCATCTCATTAAAAACTGCTTTAATGTCTATAAGATACTGATTGCTTATCTTTTAGAAATGGAGTTCCTGGGAACAAAGTTTACACAAGTCTCTCTGAATACAGCATGCCTGATGCACAGTGGCAGGTGATTCTACATACGGAAATTGTTTCTGGAGGACAAAGGTTATTGATTAAGGTTTAGAATATCCTACTAGTCCCCAACTTCCTTCTCACCCAGCTGCTCCTTGGTGCGCAGAGTGTTGAAACAAGGTTCAGAGATAATCTGACAGAAGAGTTCCAGAAACATATTCTCCGAGGTGCTCTGCATGTCTGTTTGGTAGTATATCTCGATACCACAATTATTGTGAACTTCATTCCTCTGCTGATAAACAAACCATCCTCCTAGGAAGTTTCAAAAAGAGAGCAACAGGTTCAAAAACTTATTTAGGGTTTAAAAAAGTCAATGCTACATTTGCTCACTCTTACATATAACTGTCTGATTGTAAACTGGAAAAAGAGAGGGACAGATGGACTGTAAGTCCTGCCCCTTCCACTTCTAGCCTTTTCATACATATTCCAAAGTGTCACCTCCTTCACAGTGCATGATATTTTTCTTTTAAAGCTGTAAATGTCTTCCCACAGTGAGTTAAGTGAAAGATTATTTAAGGCACGCACACCTGACCACTTGGCTAAATCAAAATAATTTAACACCCAGTAAACTGAGAATGGGAAGTAAATTGGGCTATTTTTGAGTGTGAGACTTATGGGAGGACACTCAAGAGGTCAAAAAAGAGTCTTAGGAAAGAGAAAGAGGGAAATAGAATAAAAGAGGCATGAAAGATAAATATCACTTTAATTTTTTTTGTTTTTTTGAGACAGGGTCTCGCTATGTAGTTCAGGCTAGTTTTGAACTCATGTAGCACAAGCTGGCCTCAAACTTTAGTGATCCTCCTGCCTCAGCCTCCTGGAGTCCTGGGATTATACTCGTGCAGCACCATGTCCAGCTTGATGTTTTGTTTGTAGACTGGTCATATTTTGCCTGAAGACAAATGCTGTGGTTCTTTTTTTTTTTTTTTAAATCTTGGGCGCTAGGAATTGAACCCAGGACCTTGCACATGGTAAACAAATGCTCCATGACTGAGTTATATTCCCAATGCTATGGGTCTTAAAAAGCAGATCCCATTCTTCCTTTCTGCTCTGCCTGTAGAAACAGAGGAACAAACCAGAAATATGTACTAAGCCATTCCCAGCTTTGTGAAGACTGGCAAGGAAGAGCTGTGTTCAAGTATTCAGCAAAGATATTTCGAGGCAAGAGTATGTTTGAGTTGTTCTACTAGCTACTCAAATGAGCCAGACGCAGACCATCTAATAAGATGGTGATGCACTTTCCTCCAAATGCAAGAGCAGAAGGGCTGAGTAGAGTTAATAGAGGTTCAGAAAACTACTGGATTGCTTCTTGGCCTTTTGGCTAAGATCAAGTGTAGAAAACTGCTGGAACCTCAGAGGCAGAAGTGATAACTTCTAGATGGTAGTTTCAGAAAAAGATTAGTGGCTGCAATAGTTTGGATCTTGAATATCCCCCAGAGGTCCACATGTTGAAGGATTAATCCCTAGCATGTGGCACTACTGGGAGGCAGAGGAACCTTTAGGAGGTGGGTCCTAGTGGAAAGAAGTTAGGTAACTGGGGGGGGGGGCACTGGGCTGCCATGAGGTGAGGGCTTTCACCACCACTTGTTACAGGCCTAAAAATAGTCCAATCAGCCACACCAAAACTGTGAGCCAAAATAAACCTTTCCTCCTTATAAGCTGCTTTCTCACAGGTATTTCTGTCAGTGATGGAAAGCTGATGACTAATATGGTAGAGTAGGTAGCTTATATAATAGGCCTGAAAGGAGGAGAAGGGAGTACACATGCTCATAAGGAAGAAGGGGGAAAGAAAGGGGAAGGGGGAAAGGGGAGAAAGGAGGAGGAAAGGATGAAATAGCTGAGAGAAAAATAACCAAAAATGAAACTCTCATTTTTGGTCCAATATACTTCCCATTATATAGTTCTGAACAATAATGAAATAATGAGTAATTAGTTTATATAAAAAAAACTGTTAATGTAAAAGTAACTCAACATTGAAAAAAATAAATTCTTTATCTTAATCCCTTATAAAATATACTTTTAACAAATACATGTTGTTTTGCTTTGTGACTTTCCTAAAGCTATTTCTGCTAAAGATTCCTAAGAGATTCCAATGAAATGTTATGATTCTAGCTAGCTTGCTTTCCTTCCCTTTCTCTTGCCATCGCTGCTCTAGATTAACATTTTGTAAAAACAACTCTCCCTCTCTGTCCGTTTTGATCTCAACAGGGATTAAGGTCTATAGAGGCAACCAAAGTCCTGAGTTTGATTCCCAGTACCAGAAAAAAAGGAAAGAAAATAGGATCTTGCTATGTAGTTCATTCAGGCCAGCCCTGAAATCACCATGCAGGGCTGGGATATAGCTCATCAGTGCCACACCTGCCTGGCAAGTGTAAGATCCTGAGTGTGATCCCCAGTACAGGGTGGGGGATCACCATGTGGCCCAGGCCAGCATCACACTCGCCAGAATCGTCCTCCCTCAGCCTCCTGAGTTCTGGGATCATCCACATTTGTCACCACGCCTGGCTTTAGCTTTCATTTTTTTATAAATAAACTTCATTTCAGACTTTGGTCAATTATTTTAGTTTTGTGGTATTTTACTTCCTAACTCCCCAGTGCTCAAGTTCCAGTCAATTCCACTATTATTCTCTTCAAAATTATTGACTACTTCCAATTTCATCTCTTTGGCTCTCCTATCAGAACACTGTTCTGGCAGAATTATTTATTTCTAATCATATTTCTATAAATAGTAGGAGACCTCAGTGAATCATTACCATAAAACAATATATTACCATAGAAATGAACTCAACGTATTTGCAGTCACCCATATTACTATATCAAAGTCATCCATACCCAAAGTTGTAACAGTTGAACTTACTGTCAGGTAGCTGAACTTCTCTATACCGAACTAGTTGACTTGGAAGGAGAGGTTTTGTATGAGCATGTTCAATAAGGGTATCTTCAACCATCTGCATAATTCCTAATGCAGCCTGAGTAAAAAGATATCACAGCACATTACAAAAAAAAAAACAACAACAACAAACAAACATATCTTGTCTGTGTGTAAATAAAAACCATCATATTGGAAAAAAACCCCACTATATTGGATAGTCCATTAAAATATGAAAACAACATGTTTATAAAATAAAGTACCTTAATAACAAAAATGGATTTTTAAATCTTAAATTCACTTACTCCTATTTAAATGGATTAAAATTGAATTTGTCAGTCAATATGGTAGTAGTGAAGAGAAACAGAACAATCATTAATCCTGTCTGTGATGTTGGGAAAAAGGTAGTGCCAAAATTGGAGACGCACTGGTAATGGAAAGTTCTTCCCATGAAAATGCCTTGACCACAGATACCTGAGGTCACAGCAAAGTTGAAGAGGTGAGCATAAGGCTTTACTGTGAATGAAACAACTTTGGCGAGAATTGTGTCTCTGCCACTTATCAGCATCTGACATTCAGCATATTGTTTTGGAGGTAGTGTAACACAGTGGTGGACAGTGAGAGCCCATGAAATAGACTGTCAAGGAAATTTCAAAGTACTTTCCATGTGCTAAGAACTTGGCATCACTACTAATCCTTACATCCCATGAAATGGAACACAGTTAAGACATTTAGATAAGATCACACATCTAATATTTGGCAGGGTCAGGACTTGAATGCAGGCTGGCTGATTCCACAATATGTGATCCTATACAAAGTAGGGATAGTTATTTCCATTTCTTCCTATGATTGCACAAATCAGTGACAACAATAGAGAAGGCAAAGGGGGAAGTAGGTCCTCAATTAACTACTATTATCTATTATCAACTATTATGTCCCCTGTATCCTCTTCTACCTTCCTCCATAGAATAGGGAAGGCGAGTCAGCTTTAATGTGCTCATCACTGTGTTGGTTAACAGTCTTCACACAGCATAGAGGAAAAACACTTTGTATAGTGATCCACAAAAGATGCTAAAACCTCACCTACTCACCTGCTTTGTTATGTTTCCATGAATGAGGGCTTCAATGTGCAGCCGTGACAGGAGCTGAGGTATGAAGGCCTTAAGGCGAAGAAGAGTGACATCTATAAAGAAGTAAGAAACACTAAGCTCTACATATAAGTTTAAAAAATAAACAAGCAAATAAAAACTTGGTATAGTATTTGTGATAACTTGAGACTAGAAAAGACTTGCAAAAATACTAGAGTTCTTTTATACCCTTCACCTTGTTTTATCTAATGTTAACATCTTTCATAACCATAATATGATGACCAAACCTAAGCAATGAACACAGATACAATACTATTAACTGAAGTACAGGCTTTATTTAGATTTCACTTTTTCTACCAATGACTTTTGTTCTGTTACAGGTTCTAGTCTAAAATCCCATATTACATTTAGCTGTCAAGCATCCTTAGTGTCCTCCAAGAAGTGATGGTTTCTCAGACTTTCTTGTCTTTCATGACCCTAAGACTTTTTGGAGTACTGTGCAATTATTTTATAGAATGTCCTTCCTCTGGGTTGTCTAGCATTTTCTCAGGATTAGATTCCATTTATGCATTCCTAGGAAGAATACAGTATAGAGGTAATGTGCCTTGCTCAGGGCATCATGTCAGTGGTAAATGAGGTTGATATGCTGTAGCAATGGTTATGTTAACACTGATCACTTAGTAAACAAAGGATCTGCCAGATGTCTTCACTGTAAATGTACTATTTTATCATTTTGGTTATAATGGAGTAACTCATGTACGCTCTACATGCAATTTGAAAACTCCACCTGCCTGCCAGTTTTCCCCACTGCAATTAGAAGATATTTTGGGGGAAGTAATTTGAGATAATACAGATATTTTTGTTTTTCCTTAAATTTTTATTAATTTTAGTCTTTTGCTGGAAATTGACTGTGGTAATTATTACTATGGTGTCCTAATGGTCATTTTTCTATTTCTCCCATTCCTTTTACATATATTGATTTATTTTTTTCTGTAAGAGTTGACTGTTCTCCAGTAGGACACAGGGTAATAAATGCTACAGGTGGGATCCACCAGTGGTTGCTAAAATTAGTAACTAAAATCTATGGAAAGGCAAGAGAAGGCAAATAATAAATTACTTAACTAGTAGGCATTTTATACATGGTATCTTTCAAACTGTAAAGTATGTACTATTATTTATGTTTTAAAGGTGAGAAAACTGAAGAAAATTTGTTTCTTATCAAAAGTCACTAAGCTAGTAATTGCAAAATGGAATCTGAGCGTTAGTCTGACATTCACTGTACTCCACTGCATTGCCTCAGGTGCCCCTTTACTAGATCCCTCAAGACTCCACAGACTTCTAGCACAACACTCACCCTGCCCCCACCCCACTGAAGTCACTGTTTTCTATTTATGCTTCACCATTAGACTGAAGCTCCTTAACCCCCCAGAAATGCTACCTAATTGATTGCTTTTTATCCTGGAGTGCAGGGTCAGGTGCACAGCAGGCAGTCAGTTTAACGCTGGACCACATTAAACTCTGAGGTTCTTGCTATCTTGGGACTTGGATAGTTGAATGACTTAAAAGACCAGGGCGGGGAGGTAGGGGAGCCAGCATCAGACACTGATTGAGCTATCTCTAAAGTCAGCCACATTGGCATTCTGGATTATTGTATCATAACCCAGAATGATTATTTATTACAGTAGAGAATTTTAATGAAAAAATTACTGTCTCTTTAAAAACACATTTTAGTGGGCTGGGGATTTAGCTCAGTGGTTCTGCCACCTGCCTTGAAAGTGCAAGGTCCCATGTTTGATCCCCAGTACCAAAAAAAAAAAAAAAATTTACGAAGGCTTCATATGCCTGTGAGATACTCTAGAGCTTATTCTTAAAATTCACCGATCCCCGGTACCAAAAAAAAAAAAAAAAAATTCACTTGCCAGCTGACCCAAATTCTAACAAAGGAGGAAAAACTCAAAACTTCTGCTTTTTGATTACAATGAAAATAAGTTGTTTCTTGAGAACATATTTAAAGTCAATTATGTTGTATCCTTTTTAAAAATGTAAAAATTCTTGTTATTAACTGCACAAGACTCATAACCATTTTGGAAAGAAAAGATATAACCATCCAGATTAAAAATGTATATGTTCTATTTAATGAATTTTATAATCTATCTTCCTACCCAATGCCAAGGCAATCAATAAAACGAGGACTTTCAGTACTTGCTCTTGCTTGATTTGACACTGCAGTTATCAAAAGCACAGTTTAGTAAAGGCTTATAATAAATGGTTATTAAAAATTAAATAAAATTTTCTCCTAAATTGCCTTTTTTGGGGGTAGTACTGGAGGTTGAACCCTGAGCTTTCAACAGAGCTACATCCCCACCTTTTAAAAAAAATTTTGAGGCAGGATCTTGCTAAATTGCCCAGGCAGGATTCAAACTTGGGATCCTCCTGCTTCATCCTTCCAGAATGCTGGAATTACACCTGGCTTAAATTGCATTTTTTTTTTTTTTTTTGAGACAGGGTCTCACTACATAGGTTCAGACTACTCTTAAACTCATAGCCCAGGCTGGCCTCAAACTTACAATGACCCTCCTGCCTCAGCTTCCTGAGTGCTGGAATTACAAGTGTGCACCATCACACCCAGCTCTGGATTTTATTTCTTACTGTTGAACAGGTAGGAAACATTAACTGGTGAAGAGTAATGTTGGGAAGTGAAAAATATTAAACAATAACAAAGGGTGATATCATTTACATTCTTTCCAATAAAGCAACCCTGAAAGAATTTCCATTTCATTCAATGGGCATCCAATAGACATACACAGAGGGCATAATAAATTAGACACTAAGTAAAAGGGATGAAAGGAAGACATAATTACTGCCCTCAAAGAATTTAGTACTTATTTTCAGGCAAAACTCCTCAGAACTGCCAGCACTTGGGCACACCACAGGTGTACTGTGGTGGTGCACACCTCTAATCTCAGCACCTGTGAGGCTGAGGCAGGAGGATTGCCATAAGTTTGAGGCCAGCCTGGGCTACATAGCGAGTTTAAGGCCAGTCTGAACTATACAGTGAGACCCTGTCTCAAAAAACAAACAAAAAAAAGATTTTAGGGGGAAAAAAACAAGGGTCCAGTCTTTAGGCTTTACTTATTTTCTAGTTTCTAACTGTAGTGAACAACTCTAAAGATGCTAGGGCATGAAAAAATGCCTAGACCTTCAAGTATAATCCATTTTTCCTTTCTGAAGAGTTCAACATTAACAAGGGAAATGACTGGGTCAGAGCAGTTGGTCATCCGCAGAAACCTAAAACAATAATAGCTAACTATGTGGGTACAGGTTGAAAATAATAAATGTGGTTAAATTGCCTGAATGCACATGCCTCTTCAAAGGCCAATATTTATTTAATGAAAATTATGCACAGCTGGATTAACTAGAACTACAGGTTATTAAAATATAAATATTCAGTATTAGAATAAACCAAAAAGATCCTAATTAAAATTAAAGAAAGCATTAGGCTTTAGAAAAAGTAGAAAGAGTCTCACCATCTAGGGCATCCTTTAATTCATCTTTAGTCCAGGCTACTTCAGTCATCAGCAAGCGGAGGTAGTACATGGCATGCTGGTGAGGCTGTTCGGCCCGGAAATTGTTAAGAGACCGCATATACTAGTGAAAGTAGATATGGATTCATTAATTTTATAACTCTTTAAAAAATCATTTCAAAAGACTTCATTTTGTATAAATTATGTGTTATTGGGATGCAGTATATTTCTCAGTTACTAGGAAGCTATATATTTAAGAATGGGGCCTCTTCCTCTCCAAATCCTTAAACTAACGGGCATGCTTTTCCATTGTCCTGGCTGCATCTTTAACTCCTGGCATCTGACATGTACTACAAATGCATTCACTATGGGAAACCATTTTATTGTTTTGAGGGGAGAGAAGGTACTAGAGATGAACCCAGAGCCTGGACCATGCTAGGCAAGCATCTATCATTGAGCTAGATCCCCAGCTACTATGGGAATCTTTCATCTCTCAGAAAGTTATCCTAATTTTTCAGGGACTCTTGTCTTTTTGGCATCCTTAAATATTGCACATAAGGTCATCCGAAAAGTCTTGATAAGCAACTAACATGGACAGATATATACTGGATCTTTAATTGAAAATTAATGGTAGTTTTTTATGGTGTACAATGAAGGTCACAGTTTATCTGTGAAAGTAGCCATCCATCCCCTATTTGCAATACTGGGCCAAACAAGAGGTGAATTTAAGTGGAAGATACATCAAACCTAAAGAGTGTACCCCAACATGACAAAGCCCTGTGGTAGGGCTGACCTCAGTCTACTCAAATGTGTTTATATGAAATAAACGTTGGGATGAAATCTGCTAAATATCTCAGACTGGTACTAAGGGCTTCTCTTTGAAAGTCAGCACTGGAGCTGACTAGCTCTTGAAGTCCACAAAGAGAGGCAGGTGTCCACCAGAGTCTGCTAGGCTTTCTTTGTGAGTATAGGATTTAGCAATGAGAAAGTGAGAGGAATGCAACAGGATTATGAATGTTTCCTATGCTCCAATCCCCTAATATTAATTTATGAATTAAAAAATATAAAAATGACTGAGAAAACTTACTGCTTCTTTGATAATTTCAAATCTTTTTTTATCAATCTCAAAGGTAGCCATTTTCTCAGTAATCTTCTTTAGCAAAATTGGCTGCTTGTCATTGTAACCTTTCACAGAGAGCTACGGAAAGAGTTCAAGGTATTAAAAGTCAAAAAGAAAAAATCCAACAACTTCCAAATAAACATCTTAAGCTTGATTTTTAAATCAAGAAAATCCCAAAACTTAGAAAACTCCAAATTCAAGTGCATTAAGATGAAAATGAAAAAAGAAATTCAATGAATTTAACTTCTCATAAATAGTTTAACACTGAGGAGGATAACATTGACCATCTTGATATTAATAGTCAAAAGCGTAATTTCAGTTTTCCTAAATAGTCAAAGTAGATAAACTCACCTGATGCTAAACTATGGTGACATACACTACATCACGTAAAACTTAATTACAGAATGTGTTTAATTTTAAAATTTATTTATTTATTTTTGGTACTGGGGTTGAACCCAAGGTCTTTGTATTGAGCTACATCACTACCTTTTTTTCTACTTTTTATTTTTGAGACAGGGTGTTGCTAAGTTGTTCAGGCTATGCTGAAACTTTTGATCTTTCTGCCTCAGCCTCTCAGAGTGCTGGGACTGCAGGGTGCGTGGCATCATGCCTGGATAGAATGTGTTTAAATTTTACCTTTCTTTCAGTGCTGAGGTTTAAACCTAGGATGTTGTGCATGCTAAGTACATACTCTACAACTGAGCTACCACCCTTAGCCCCTAAGTTTTATCTTAAAAAAGACTTTCTCGTGAATGATAGCCTTCAAGTTTTTATAGGTGTATCAAGAAGGTAAAGATCATAGGGGACTGTTATCAAACTGACTACTGGACATGTACCAAAATATATACATGACATAGTGTTATTCACTCACTCAGTGTTACTCAGTAAGGAGCCACAATTCTAACCATTCTCATATTCGATGAATTCTGCTGATGTCCCAAAAGCCAATGGCAAAACACCATATACATCCATCACAATTTTGCCTTAGGATAATTTACATTCCTGAAAGATTCATATTTTGAAAAGCAGGGAATGGGGAATGACTACATTCCCACATCATGGCACCTGAAGCAGTACTGACACTGGAGTACCTAGGAAAGTCTCTAGCTCTGAAGAATGACAGAAAAGAACCTCAGTAGAAGCGAAGGCCACTGGCTATGTAAAACACATCATGTACCACAGGAACTGGGTTGACAATAAGCAGAAAGCTCATTTTATCATAAATAAAAATTATTTGATTTAATGATAATATTCTGCTAAAAGTCAACAGCAAGAAATAGAAAACAGATTATTACTTTTTATTGGAGTTAATTTTGATCTCCGAGTCTGAAAATTTCTGTAGATGCTGAGAATGATATTATATTATATATATTATATTAAATTATATTCATTCTTATGCATTAAACAAACTCTACCAGAAAAATTATTTATATATAGAAGAAAGCCACTGCAAAACAAAGTTTAAAAACCTAAAAATTTTGTGTTGGAACTGTTTTTTAAAATGGAGTACTCAGGGCTGGGGATTTAGCTCAGTGGTTCCAGCACTGGCCTTGCAAACACAAGGTCCAGAGTTTGATCCCCGGTACCCCCCCCCCGCCCCCCCCAAAAAAGGAGTACTCAGAAATACTCTAATTTTAGGTTTTTACTAAAACATATATTTTCCAAAAAAGTGAAAATGAATGTGTGTATTAAAAGGGATGTTAATTTGGAACTGAGATATAGTCAAATTTGGAAACATACCAAAAACATTTTTGAGAATCTAGTTATTTCTTGGGTTGCATTTAATAATGCTTATTTTAAAGCACATGTAGTTAATGATGCATGCTACAAAATAAACTGTCAAGTATATTTGAACAATAGAACTTTCTACTACTGTCCACAAAAATAAAGGTTATATGTAAGTAAAATTTAAGCACCACAACAGTAACTATGGATATTTTCAAATTATAGATGGTAGAGTACTAAAATACACAGAAAGAAAGAAAAACATGCTTTCAGGATTAGTGTGTTAAACATCTCAAGCAGAACATGCAAATAAATGCAGCACACATACATGTTCACAAAATGCAGTAAGCTTTACTAAGTCATTAGTGGAACCACTACTAATCTGAGTTCTTCAATTATAAAAAATGGTGCAAAAAAGATCAACCTCCTAATTTAAAAATGCAGAAGTTAATAGTTTTCCCAAGCTCAACATAATGCTTAAACGGTGTGGTGCCTTTTCTTTGGTTTTCATTTTACTTACAAGTATTGCATTCATTCCTGATGCAATGTCATAGCTCAAACCTGAGAGGCGTGCTGCATATGTATACTCTTTTAAATCATCCTTCAATAACCTGATAAACAGGTATGTCATGTTGCAATGGAGAGGATCAGCATAAATGTAGCGACTAACAAAAAGAAAAACAAAAGAAATGCTTTGATACCTCAAGCAATGGCATGATAATGAAGAAACATGACTGAAGAGTATGGATATGCAGCCTCATGATCTGGATTTCTAGGGAAATAGTATAAGACAACCTTATGTTTTACAAAGAGAAGACTTAATTCTCTTTTACCAAACATCAAGACTTCAGATACAGAAAGAATGTGATTTAAACCTAAGTTGGAGTCCAATTTTGTTTGAGGAGAAGGCAATATGATGAAAGATGTTAAAGAAAACAAAGAAATCAAGAAAAATCTGCATAATATGAATGGTATATAGCTGAATACTTAAAATAAGAGCTAACTTAAAAATTAAAACAATGAGAAAATGATTAGCCATAAAGATTTTTTAAAAAAGAAATTAAACTCATACCCTCAGTCAAAAATGCTTCCATCAAATCAATATAAAAAATGTTGATGAGTGGAAGGCTCTAAGACATGGGTACTTACATACATCCCATAGATGGTATTTTGGAGGTCATAGCTCAAGCCTGCTAGCTCTGCTGCATATGCATACTCGTTGAGTGAATCTTTGAGGAGCTCAAGGTACAAATAGGCCATGTTACAGTGCAAGGGGTCCACATAAGCAAATGGGCTGGAAAAAAATGTTGACAATAAAATAGCTGATTTATTACTTCCCAATGTGATGTGGTCTTTTGAGATGGATCAAGAAATTAAATATCAATTAATATAATTTCCTGAGGATATGGTTGAATTCTCAAGTCTGTTTCTTCTTGTCGTGGGAGAAAAAAAAAAAAAAAGAGAAGTCTGAAAAAGAAGCCTGAATTACGCCATGTATGTGTCTTGGTGGAAGTGAAGAGGGAGAGAGAACTGCTTACCCAATATGGTGGGGTAGAACTGACAAGACAGAAACAAGACAGAAATGCAAGGCAGATAAGAGAGGGAAGGGGCTAAAACACATGCCTGTCCTCAGGCTAATGGGGGAAGCATGGCAGCTGGAGTTGATACAACATTTGCATGTCTTTTTTCCTTTCTCTAAGCAAGTCACATCCTTGGTGGACAGGAATATGAGGTGTAGAAATTTGTGTGCTATAAAGTTAAATATATATAATATATATATAACATATACACACACATATATAGCAACTATAAAATTAAGAGAAAACTAAGAAAAATTGTGAAAATATTATCTTATCCCTGAGTCTTCCCTCAAATCAATAAAGCTACAGAATGATCAGTAAAATACTTGATAAATTCTATCATATAACTAGCACCCCAAATTAGGGAAAAAATTAAAATAGAAAAATATTTAAGAAAGAAAGGGTAACAAAATAGAAAAAATAGAGTACAAAAAGAAGTAAACAGAAGCAGAGATCAACTTTTACTTTCTAGATAAGAAAATTTAAAAAATGTTTATTTCTCAGGCAGGAAACATAACTTCATCAGGTCACCTAGGCTGGCCAGAGCAGAGCTGGATTTAAGTGCAAGTTAAATGGCCTCCTCCTTTGACTATATGACACTGCTTACCTTTATTACAAGCAAGTAACAGATTCATTCATTCACTCAGTATCTTATTACATGCTTACTACAGTGCTAGCTTCTTCTCCAGGCATTGAGAATTAAGAAAGAACAAATCAGGCAAAGTCCCTGACTTTACAGTCTAGTCAGAGAAGAAAAAAAATAAAGTGAAATCTGATACATCCGGTGGTGACAGTGCTATGAAGAAAAATTAAATGGAGCAAGAGGAAGAGGAATGATGGGTGGCAGCAGCAGAGAGGAAGATTGCTAATTTATAGAAGATGGTTAATCAGGCCACTCTGACAATGCTGACTTAGGGGTCTCCATCTGAAGGAAGCAAGAAAGCAAGCCCTGTGGATCTGGGGGTGGGGTGAGAGCATTCCAGGATGAAGGAACAGCTAGTGCTGCAGATAAGGCAGATACCTGATGGGTTTGTTTGGCAGCAAAGGAAATGTTTCACTCTCTTGTAGCACAGTAAATATAAATAAATATAATATGATATACTGATAGGAAAGTCAACAATTTTATCAAAGCTGATAATAAACCAACAATAGAGGTAAAATGCTTAGTCACTTAGACAACTAAAATGCAAAGAGAAAATTGTACGTCTATCACATTATCCAGCTAGAAAATCTGCAAGTATGTTCTGCTATTTAATTCTTTAAAACATTATACACATTGATAAAATGATGTCCTTCTTTAGGCAAACAGTAGCTCAGAAACTTAAAACGTATGATTCATGAAAATAAAATAATGAATTTTATTTTAAAACAAAAGAAACAGTGCTCAGCCCCATAGGCAACTGTATAATTTTTAGGAGGAAGTGAAAAGCCAGAAAAGCCAAGTTTGGGAGTTCAAAGGCAAATGAATCAAGCTCAGAATATAATTTCAACAATTGTCCTAAAATGCTACATTCACATTGCTTAAGGGCACAAGCTAATTTTTAAAAGACCACATAATTCAACTGTAATACATAAACTCTGGTTCATTTGTTAATTTAAAAAATATTATTTTGTAGTCAAATACTATATGCTTAAATATGTAAGGGCTGATCACAAGGTTTCAGAAACTGTAACTAGTCAGGCATGGTGACACACACCTGTAATCCTAGCACTCTGGGGGGCTGATGCAGAAGGATCACAAGTTTGAGCCCAGCTTGGGAAATTCAGAAAAACCTTATTTAAAAACCAAACCAGGGGCGGGGATTTAGCTCAGTGGTTCCACCGCCTGTCTTGCAAGCCCATGGTCCCGAGTTCGATCCCCGGTACCAATAAATAAATAAATAAATAAATAAGTAAGTAAGTAAGTAAATACCAAACCAAACAAACAACAAAAACAAAAACAAAACAAAACAAAACAAAACTCCATTAAAATGTACAAGAAACCCAACGGCAGTTACCTCTGGGAAGACCCAAACAAGAGATAGGAGATAGAGATTTGCTGGAAGCAAGCATTTTCAATTCTAGGGATTGTGCTAGGTAGTTTAAAGAACACAAAAATGCTAAGTAATGTCTCAAAAGGCATTCCAAAGAAATTAATAATCATAGCAGCAAAATGGAAAAGTAGTGACAAGCTGCTTAGAGTGTTAAGACTATCACTCTCAACTATCAAAAATGAAATAAGCATCTGTAATGCTCTTGACCAACAATAAACCATAACCAGACAGCCCAGGTTTGATATTAAATTTAAAATCTCAGCACAGTTCCAGAACACATATACATCTAATGCTATAAAACACAGTATGTATATCGCTATAACCTACACACGTTTATTGATGGAACATTAACTACTCAGAGATTCTTTTTCCCTCTTCCAAAACATTTAATACACACCTCATTCTAATTTCATATCAAGACAACCAAATAATGAAAAACTAATTAAAAAGCTGGTCATCATCTTGAACATTATTACATAATGAGAGGTCTATTTCACACAGACCACTCACTACATTTTAGAAGTATAAAGTTATAAAGTATAAAATTACAAAGTAAAATTTGAACGGTGATATACTTAACCACATAAATAAATAAAAGAAGACAGACATGAATTGAAGATGCACTGAGAAATCATTGCCAACAGTACCATTATTCATAAAATTTAATAAACATCTTCTTCTTTTAGTTATACATTTTTTCCAGTTCTAAGGATAGAACCTAGCGTCTTGTGCATGGAAGGCAAGCATTCTACCTCTGAGCTACACTCTCAGCCCTTCTTTTTCTTTTCTTTTCTTTTGGTACTGGGGGATCAAACTCAGGTCCTTCTGCTTGTGCAGCAGGTGGCAAAACCACTGAGCTAAATCCCCAGCCCCTTATTTTATTTTTGATATAGGGTCTTGCCTTGAACTCCTGATTCCTCCTGCCTCAGCCTCCTGAGTAGCTGGTATTACAGGAGCACACCACTATGCTCAGACCTTCTTATTAAACAATTTTAAAATACTCAACCCAGAGAAAGTTCCAGATAATTAAAGATCTGGAAAGGATTTAAAGTCATTTTATAACTCCGACCCCTTCTGGGCAAGTTCCAGGAAAATAAAACTAAAAAACCCAAAATACCCCAAATTATTATTATTTTCTCAATGTATTTTCTGGGTTTGATAGTCTCTCTGGATTCCAAAATCCTGAAGGACAGGAAGGTCCTCCTAATAGTAGCTAACATAAATCATTTCAGTTAAAGGGCACATTCATTGTTGGAAAGAAAGATGTATTTATAACTTTAGTTAATTAATAACTTAGAACAATAGTTCTTACCAGTAGCATTCTCCCATGTAGGCAAAATAACTCTTAATTCTTTTTATTTCTAGACATGGATGCTCAAGAAGGACCAAAAGCTTAACAAATGTAACTGTTGATTTTTCATTAGTTTTATAGCTAGATGGTTCTTACATACCTGAAAAATTCAAAGTTGAGACAAGCCTTTGGCAAGAAAAACTTATCATCTTGTTTGAACCATAGTTTGCTCATAGCTGTATCCTGTGGTGGAGAAACAACTTGGTTAAAGAAATAAAGGCACATGCAGAAAAAATGTTCAATCAGATCATCACTGAAGAGGAGGATGAGAGGACCAGGTACAGAGGTACATTCCTGAAATGCCAGTTACTTGGGAGACAGACACGGGAGGATCACAAGATTGAGGCCAGTTCTGGCAACTTGGGGAGACCTTGTTTGAAAGGAAAAAACAAACAAAAACAATAACAAAAAAACAGCTGGGGATGTACCTCAGTGTTACAGCACTTGCCTAGCATGCACAGGCCCTGGGTTCAATCCTCAGTACCAGGGCCAGTAAGTAGAAAGCTGGAGAGAAGACTGCTGACTCCAACAACAGCGTGGAATCAGCCTCCTGTATCCCCACAGTTATGGAGATGAAGGCATAATGGAGGAAGAGACAGGCTGGAGAAACCAATAGCAGCTGTCCTGTCCTCAATCTTCTGGGCTCTAGGAGGCAGGCAGATGCTGGACTCCTTTGCAGAGGACATGTGGCAGGCAGCCAGTCTACACTGTGGCCCCCACCATCCCTGCCTTCAGGGATTCACACCCTTGTGTAGTCCCCTGGCCACAGTGGACCAGTTAGTCTGCTTAAATAAAGGAATGTAACAGAATGATATCTCTGAAATTAAATTTTAACAGACTCTGTGGTTTCTATCTTGATCACTCACTTTCCCTTTTGGATCAATCACTTTGGGGGAGCCAGGTGTCATTTCAAACGAATCTATGGAGAGGTCTGTGTGGTGAAAAACAGACCAGCCATCAACCTCATTGGTGACCTTGACAGAGATATCTACACTTTTAGTTGAGCCTGCAGATGACCAAAACCCTGGCCAACAGCTTAACTACAACCTCATTATACAACCCAAGACAGAAATACTAATTTTTGCTTTTTTTGTACCGGGGATTGAACTCAGGACCCTGCACTTGTGAGGCAGGCATCAGAACCACTGAGCTAAATCCTCGGCCCAGAAATACTAATTATGACAATTCTAGATTCCTGACCCTCATTGTTTTAAACTGCTAAATTTTGGCATAATTTCTTATGTAGCAATGGAAAATTAAAATCACCAAGAACGGAGAAATAGCCACCTCCTTGACTTTCACTTTGCTTATGTTTTACTGAGAAATGCCTTAAGATATCCACTTGAAACTACCTTGAAACTCCAGCAAGAGATATAATGGTTTAATGTTCTCCTCAGTTTACTCTGAGAAAGCCTATTTAAAACAGATAGCCAAGGACTGGGGATACAGATTGTGTGCTTAACATTTGAAAGACCTTGGATTTGATCTCCAGCATACATATCAAAAAACAAACAAACAAACTCATAAAAAAGTGGAGATAAAGAAGCTTTCTCTTTATTAACTAATATATAACTCATTAAAATGAGTTTTTTTTTAAAGAAAATAAGTTATCTCATTAATAATCTAGTTACTCTTAAATTAACTTGTATGTTCCTAAACACTAATTCCAATCTCACTAATCTGAATATAAAAAGAAGGTGAAAACAACAAAAAATCTGTGTTTATAGTCATTTTAGTATTTAAATTTAGAAAGGAGAATGTGCTAACATCAAATAATTTGGTATTTTTTACACTCTTTACCCAAAGGGTGAAATAATGACATGAAAACAATACTCTAAACTGGGCATGGTGGTCCACACCTGTAATCCTGGCACTCTGGAGGCTGAGGCAGGATAATCATAAGTTCAAAGCCACCCTAGGCTATACAGGAGGTCCCAGGCCAGCCTAAACTGCAGAGTGAGACCCTGTCTCACAACAAACAAACAAGAACAATCTGAAAAAGAGTGGGAAAATCTAGTTCTCAATCACCCTTCCCACTGACTTGGAACTCTATTAGCTTCATACAGCTACTGTATTGCAAAGAGAATTTTTTTTTTTGGTACCGGGGATTGAACTTGGGACCTTGTGCTTGTGAGGCAGGTGGCAGCACCACTGAGCTAAATCCCCAGCCCACAGAAAGAAATTTTTTTTTTTTGGTACCGGGGATCAAATTCAAGTCCTTGTGCTTGCGCAGCAGGCGGCGAAACCACTGAGCTAAATCCCCAGCCCCAGAGAGAATTTTTTTTAAGGGTGAGAAATCCAACAGCTTCTTTTGGACAGGCTCTTTCCTGGGCTATAGAGATTTTTTTTTTTTTAATCTCTAACTTTTATTATGCAGCATAAACCTACCTCCTTTCTGCATCTTCAATGGATATGGAAAGAGGCTGATATCTTTTAACAGACTTGTGATCATAGCCCAGACATTTTTTTCTCCTGAAAAGACAGCACTTCTCTAGATCCTACATGGTTTAGTAGCTTTGTTTGCTTGCTTTAATATTTTTAACCTTTTAATATTTCTTGCATTCTTTCTGCAATATTGTTGACATCTCTTAGGATGTGAGCCTCTCAAATCAACAAAATATTCAATATAAGAAATCATTCCTCTTGTTCCATGGGTCCCCTCCCCATTTAAAACCACTGATTTTTCCGGGCAAGATGGCACACACCTGTAATCCCAGCTACTCGGAGGCAGAGGCAGAAGGATCACTTGACCCCAGGAATTTGAGACCAGTCTGGACAACATAAGATTTTATATCAAAAAAAGAAAAAAAAAATCATCAATTCAACATATTACCTTAATAAGAGCAGGGTATGATGTGGCTTCTTTTTCTAATGCTACAATCTCAAAATTCGTGGGAATAAATTCATTCTTTGTTGGAAGTTTAAATTTCCCATTCAAGTCAGCATTTTGCCATTTCTGGATGAATAAAATATATACACATAAAAGCAATTAGAATCTGACCCAAAAGTTTAAAACAGTATCCTACCTCCATATTCAAGCAAATATTAAGGAGATAAAATGTCACACAGCTTTCTTGTCCATCATATATAAAGAGGCTATAACCAGGATCTATTGATGGGTTTTCACAAAACTTGAGTTGGTCTTTCTATTATTAACGAAGACTTTCCATTTAGCTATGTCTATCTTTCCTTTCCACATCTCCAAAATGACTACCTCAGGTGTTATGGTTTGGGTCTAGATGTCCCCCCAAAGCCTCATGAGGTAGCTGAATCTAGAGTGTGTGATGCTGGGATTAAGGGTGTGTGTGCTTATTAAAGCAGTATACTGATTAGTTTGGCATTGCCCTAATCCCAGTAGTCTGAGTAAGACAAAAGGGGCAGAAAGATGCTGTCAAACTCTTGCTTTTGCTGTCTTCCACTGCCATGAACTGTTGCTCCTCTGCCACCCTGTTTTGGAGCCAGGCAATTATGGATTGAAACCTCTACGAAGTGTAAGCCAAATAAACCTTTCCCCCTTTAACTTTGGGTGTCAGGTATTTTGTCTCAGCAATGACAGAAAAGTAACTAACACATCGGGTTAAGGGACAATCTGAAACTCTGGAACATAGAGAATCAGGTTTTGCTCTGGTTCTTTAAACAATAAAGAATAACCTGTAAAAGGGATATATTCCACAACTGATAGACCACAGGTCATTTATGTAAGAATTATACTTTCAGCTATGTTATGTTACTTTCATGTGTGGCCTGAAAGTCTAAAGGGGATTTCTTTCACTTTAGTAGTTCTTAAGGCCTGGCCCACATCTCTCCTGGTTGACCACATGAATTTTTTTTTTTTTTGGTACCAGGGATCGAACTCGGGTCCTTGCACTTGCAAGGCAGGTGGTGGAACCACTGAGCTAAATCCCTGGCTACCACATGAATTCTGAAGTGGACCAGTAGTTCAAGATGAAGTTAAGGACAAAGTGAGATTTAAGTCTGGATTGGCACAAGCCACTAGTTGGTTCTGTTCTATAGGCTGGTTCCAAAAGCTAAGTGGGATAGAATACAGACCACTGATTGTTGAACCCCAATTTACAATAGTTTCTATTATTTAAAACAAACAAAAAAGGGTAAATGACTGACAGTAACTCTGGGTTCAATAATTCAGTGTGCAGCAGAAGTGGCATACAACTTGCAGATTTTACAGTTCTATTTTGGTCCATGTACGTGTGTCACTTGACACTGGGATGATGAAAACAGCCGGCATATTACTTAAACTGCAGCTTAAGTCTCCAGAATGGCTGAATAGTAAGGAGAAGGAAATAGCAAATTATTTCACTGCTGAACTCCCAGATAACATTTTTTTTTTTGGTACCAAGGATCGAACTTGGGTCCTTGTGCTTGTGGGGCAGGTGGCAGCACCACTGAGCTAAATCCCCGGTCCCCAGATAAATTTTTTTAAACTTCTCATTCAGGGTGGGCATGATGGCTTGAAAGTTTGATGCCAGCCTGGGCAACTTAGCAAGATCCTGTCTGAAAAAGGGGGGTGGGTACTGTAGCTCAGTGGTAAAGGGCTTAAAGAGCATGCACAAAGCCCTGGATTTGAACCTACTACAGTACCATTTAAAAAAATTATAACTACATAGTATATCTATATGTCTGTCTGTCTGCCTGTCTATCTACGTCTATCTCCATATACATCCCATTAAAGGCAAGTTTGTTAAAGTTGTAGTTTGGGGAATAGGGAAGTTCTCCTGCATTTTAGGACTATTTCAGAGCCTGTATTGATTTATGGAAGATCAGTTTCCTCATAGTTTAAAAAAGATGGATTTGTATACACTCCAGAGGGCTTCAGTGATCTCTTCCTATACTATGAATATGTCAGAGACCCCTAAAGTACAAACAATGATTCCCTTTCTTAAATTATTTCTTCTTCTTTTTTTTTTTTTTTTTTTGGTACCGGGGATCGAACTCCGGTCCTTGTGCTTGCGCAGCAGGCAGCGATCTTCTTTTTTCTTTATTGTCATTACACAGGCACATTTAAAAAATATTCATTTGACTTTAACTAGAATCTATTTGATCTGGTTTCTGCTATTTCCGCATAAGTAATGGACCCCTAATGGAGAGCCAAAATAGAAAGACAGAAAGACAGACAGACAGAAAGAAAGAAAGAGTATTAAGATAAGCAGATAAAGGCCGGGTATTTAGCTCAGTGGTGCCGCTGCCTGTCTCGAAAGAGCAAGGTTGTGAGTTCGATTCCTGGTACCAAAAAACAAAACAAAACAAAAAAGATAAGCAGATAAAACTCAAAAGCAAAATCTTGACTACTGATGAATGTGGTAAAATGAATGTGGCAAACACACCTGTTTTGAAATCAATCGTAATTCTCTTGTGTTAACAAAAAACCCCAACGATATGAGATGTACAATATAATGCTTCCTAAAGTACAATAATTAGACATCATGAATCCAAGAGGACACTCCCAGGTGGTGTTGCCTGCAAGACCATGAGCTCTCTGGAGGCCCTGCATCTGTCATTGGTGCTTCCTACTCCCTCACCTCTTCTTGGCTTTTTTAGGGTCTTGCTTCTCTACCTCATACTTCAATGTTCTCTGATTGCATAAGGCTAGGTGGCTGTGTTACAGCCTTGGTGTTTAGGGAGATATATGAGAAGATGGCCAGAAGGCCATTTCTTAAGGCAACAACCTAAACTCCTGTCTTCCAGCTCCCGTTCACTCCTCTCCGACAACACTAAGCTATCACTCTCTACACTGCAGGCCCTGAGTTGGCAGTCCTAGGGAGCCCCTGCTCTCATGGTTCCTCACACCAGGCTTATGAACAGATGAGTTTATCTACCTTAATGACTTCGTCTGGTATAGCTTCTTGTTTGTACTGGGTTCCATACCACTCTTCTGTGCGATCAGTTTTCCCTTCAAAAGATTTGGAAACAATTGCAACCCTAGAAATATATGGAAAAAGCAAGTAGGGAAGTAAAAAGAAAAGAGTAAACTCATGTTGTATACACACATATATGGACTGGCTCATGAAAATGTTAATAATATGGAAGAATGCATTGAGTCTCTTAAAAACCCAGTATATTCTGAAGGGTTTGCTTGAACAATCAATTATAGGTTTGTATAAGTTTCTGATTATATTCCCTGTTATCCTCTAGGTACAGCCCATTAGTTTTAGTGTAAAAAAGGCCTTACAGGAGAGATTCTTCTAGATATGTTGACTAATTTTAAAACAAGAGTAGCTAGAGGAAAAGGAGATAAGACCAAGAAAGGTCTATCTTATGATTTACTAAAAACTTTTTTTGATGAGAAATAGCCCAGGGAAGAAGTCAAATGAGGTGGGAGGTTCAAGAGACATGGTTCAGTTAAAATAATCTCAAAAGATGTAAACAGAAGATTATAAGAGTAAAGGGGCAAAAGCAGCTCTATCAGAGGAACTTGATAAGCTCTGTCTGTGAAGCAACATGAGGGACACGTCAGTCTCTGCTGCCTCTTAATTATCTAAGTTGGAATCATTACACTTATACCAGCAGACAGTCCTAGGCTTGGGACAAGTCTTTGAATCTTGTGGATAGGGGAATTCTAGCAAAGAGCTTGGATGGCTTGGTGTGAAGTCTGTCCTGTTACTGGTTCTGCTTCTCTCTTATGCTCCAATTCAAATAAATAAGACCATGTCTGTACTTGCTTCTTCTCACCTATAGTCCCACAGGTTTAGTTCTGGCCTCTGAATGTTGGCCTCACAGCTGAAAGCCTAGGAATTCTCTTGATTTTCAGAATCTCAATGTCTATATTCCAAACCACTGCCCCTTGTTGGCCCTCCCAAATTGTAACACCTGATTGTCTTAAGTACCTTCTATTTCTTATTCACTCTAGACAAATTGCTCTACCTGGCTCACTGGACTTGGTCTTATCACCTGGTTTGCAAGATATCCTAAGCCAGTAATTGTGAACCTTTTGGATCCTGCAATGATACAGCCTACTGTGAGGGCTGGGGATGTAGCTCAGTGGCATTGCACCTGCCTGGCAAGCACAAGGTCCTGAGACAATCCCCGTTAACAAAAATACCCAAAACAAAAGAACAAAAAACAAAACAAACAGCCTACTGTGGCATATGTGCCATAGGTTTGCCACCACTGTCCTATGCAATGTGACTCACCTGTCACTGATTAAGCTTCCAGCTCCAAGTGTGCCTGGCCTAGTCTGTCACTGAACACTACCAGTTCTAGAAAACATGCTAAGTAAGAATATGTTTCACAGAAACACACAGAGAAATCATAGGATTTAGCAGATGAAAGAGCTCTATGATTATCTCCAGAAGGAAGTGATGCAATTTGCTAGTTCGAAAGTACCCTGCATGCGATACATGTAGACAATGTAGATACATGTAGAACTTATGTGGTCACAGGAAGGATGTGTGGTGTTTGTTAAGGATATTCAAAATATGACAATACATGACAGAACCTACCAAGACTTAAGCCTAGAAACTGCTCCTACTGTTGTTGATTTCTCAGAGAATGAATGGATTCTCAAGGACATCTCTGAAAAATATAGCAGGAAGTGTAAAAATATAGAAAGGTAGCATTCCCATCTTCTCTTCTATGAGATGACTAATTTGGAAAGAGTTCACTATACAGGTTGCTTTGGTTCTTGGATATAGCCCAAAGCATTAGAATAATGGGCAAGGGACTGATTACAACTTAACAAAGACCAAAGCATTCATTTGGCAGTGGACTTGCCCTCTGAAAAAGAAAACTTTAAATTCAAATCTAAGAGAAAAAATGAAAAAGTTCAGGGAACCCTGCCAAACCAATGGTCTGGAGAAGACCATATGATACAGAAAGAAGCAAATACTGAAGGCTATCCAGTAAAACTTGGGTAATGAGAAAGGGAAGGAGGAAAAATCATTGGTACAATCCTTAGGGATTTACATAGCTCTAAACCAAAACAAAATGTATGGGTAACATTTGAAATGCTATCACAAAAAAGTAAATATGAAGCAGACAAACACAGTTCCTCAAACTAGGCACATATCAAATACTGAAATAACAAAGAGAGATAACTTGGCAGACCAAGAGTTTGTGTTCCATTAAGAAATTAAATAAAGCCAGGAGTGGTGGCACATGTCTATAATCTTAGCACTTTGGGAAGCTGAAGCAAGAGGACTGCAAATTTGGGCCCAGCCTAGGCAATTTAGTGACTTAGTGAGACCCTATCTCAAGGCAAGGAGGGAAAGGAGAAAAAAATGAATGAAGATGTGTTATGTACATTTATCAACTCTCCATGATGAATGTAATCATTATGTACTGCAAACATGTACTAAAAAAAAAAAAAAAAATATATATATATATATATATATATATATAAATGCCTAGGGATGTAGCTCCTCAAAGGCCCTGGGCTCAATCCCTAGTACCAAAAATACATATGTACAGGAGCAATTCACTTTTGAATTCTCCATACTTGTTCCAAGTAGCTATCTGTCATCTCTCTTCTCCTCTTTCCCCATCTTCAAATAAATTGTCTTTAGTTTAAAAAAAAAAAATACACGTATACATATATACATAAAGGGAAAGATAAAGATAGTAGATACAAGTGGATACACACTTCAAACCCATATATAAATCTATGAAGCAAAGTGTGGGAATACCTGAATTAGGAGAAAAAGGAGGGAAAAGGCTAGGCAAGTAATCACAGTATACTACAGATACTTTTGTATATTTAACTGCAGCCAGTGTTGCTATAGCATTTTAGGCTATCTGCTAAAAATCCACACCATTCCCCAATTTTTTTTTTTTTAGGTACTAAGGATTGAACCCAGGGTCTCACACATGCTAGGCAAGTGCTCTATCACAAAGCTACAACTCCAGACCTTTTCATTCATTTATTTATTGTTCTGAAATAGGATCTCACTAAGTTGCCCAGGCTGGCCTTAAACCTGGGATCCTCCTGCCTCAACCTCATGAGTAATTGAGTATACAAGTCTGTGCCACCATGCCCAACTGTTAAAAAATTATTTTGATAATAGACATTACTTTTGTTTTTGAGGCAGTTTTTTTTTTTGGTACCCAGGATCGAACTCAGGTCCTTGCACTTTCAAGACAGCCAGTGGAACCACTGAGCTAAATCCCCGGCCCTTATTTTGATAATACAGTTTTCTTAAAGACAGAGGTGGAGAGAGCTAATGCGATCCTTAGAAAGATGAGAGAAAAAGACCTTTTCTTTTTCATAATGAAGCCTAAATAGTGAGCAAAGGTAACAGTGGGTTATAGTGAATGCTGACTGTTGACTTCAAGTCACATTTAAACATGTTCAGAAGGAATGTAGCGCTGGAGGAGCTGGATGGGATCCATTTGGCAACAAAAGGTCTGTTGACTACAGACATTTAAAGGCAGTATGATTTCCAAGGAATGACTTCTCATGAGATTTCTGCAAATAATCTCTAAGAGAAAAGGAGGGGGATGGCCAAAGAGTAAGAGGCCTCATAGGTAATCATGATGAATTCAAACACAATCAGTGGAAAGGGCACAGACCTGGCAATCAGTAACTTGATTCTGACAGACAGTGATTTTACTTCCTGTGAAATTATGCCAAAATCATAGTTAAGATCTAAATTAGGCAATTCTTTTAGCCTCTCTGGGCTTCAGTTTCATTGCTTTTAAGTTACAGATTCAAGGGGCTAGGGATTTAGCTCAGTGGTTCTGCTGCCTGCCTCGCAAGCACAAGGACCTGAGTTCAATCCCTGGTACGAAAAAAAAGGAAATACAGATTCAAATTAGATGAACTCTATTCTTCCAGTAGTTGAGTTCTAAAAAAGAATTTCAAATTAGATTTAAAAAATTTTTTTTCAGCCCTAAGGATCAAACACAGGGCCCTGCATATGTTAAGCAGGCACTCTACCACTGAACCACACCCTTGAGTTAGGTATTTAAAAGACATACACAAGCCCAGCAAAGGGGTACACACCTGTAATCCCAGCACTCTGGAGGCTAAGGCAGTAGGATTGCAAATTTGAGCCCAGCCTAGGCAACTTAGTGAGACTCTGTCTCAAAATTAAAAAATAAAAGGGATGGTGATGTAGCTCAGTGTAAGGCCCTGGTTCAATCCTCAATACGGGGCGGTGGGGTGGTGGTGGTGGGGGTGGGGGTGGGGGGTGGTGGTGGATGGTAACAGAAAGAAGAAAAAAAGTAATAGAATCCAAAAAACATCTCTAGTGATAAACTTAAAATCAAACTTAAAAGAACAGTGATGGGCTTAAGTGCTGAAGAAACTGAGGTTCATGAAATGAGATAAAAACCATTTTGAAAAAGTGTTTATTAAAGTAAGGAATTAAGTGAGAAAGAATCAGGAAAATGGCTGGTAATATAGTTCAAGGATAGAGTGCTTGCCTAGTGGGCATGAGGCCTTGGGTTCAATCTGAGGGTGGGTAAGGGGGAGAGGAGAAAAGTGGGAAGGAGAAAGAGAAAAAAAAGAGAAAAAGAGAGGGGGGAGGAGAAAGAAAAAGGAAAATACATATACCAAAAAATTTCATTTTTACAAAGTGTTGATCTAGAGCAGTAATGGAGAACCTTTTAAAGCTCTCAATGATACAAATAGCCTGCTGTGGCATGCATGCCATAGGTTTGCCACCACTGAGCTAGAGTAACAAGAACTACAGTTTGTTTGTTCATTTGTTTATTTATTTATTTGTTTTTGGTACTGGGGATAGAACTCAGACCTTGCGCTTTCAAGGCAGGGACAGTGCCACTGAGCTACATCCCTGGCCCAAGAACTACAGTTTAAATCATAACTGTTCAGGGACTGGGGGGTTTAGCTCAGTGCTTGACGTGGAGGAGGCTCTGGGTTCAATGCCTAGCACTCCAAAAATGAAGAATTTTCTTGCAAAAAAGCATATCTTTATTCAATGAGACAATTTGTGTGTGGGGGGGGTGGGTATTTGAGACAGGGTCTTGCTATGCAGTTCAGGTTAGCCTTGACCTCACTATGTAGCTCAGGCTGGCCTCAAATTTGTGGCGATTCTCCTGCCTCAGCCTCCTGAGTACTGGGATTACAGGTGTGTGCCACCACACCTGGCTTCAAGTCTCCTAATTTCTGAACAAGGTATATTTCTCCCTTTATTTAGGTCTTTAGTTTCTCGTGGCACTGTTTTATGCTTTTTGTGTAGCAGTATCATTTACCTTTAGTTAAATTAATTTCTAGATATATTATGTTTTTACTGCTGTTATAAAGTATTTCTCTCTTTTCTTTTCTTTCTTTTTTTCCTTCAGTTTTTTGAGATAGGGTTTCACTATGTGAGTCTAGGCTGGCCTTGAACTGTGGTGATCCTCTTGCCTCAGCCTCTTGAGTGCTGGGATCACAGGTATGTGCCACCATGCTCAGCTAATTTTCCATGTTTTGTTGCTGTATACTGAAATGAAATTGATGTCGTATACTGACCTCGTATCCTGTGATTGCTGAATTCACTTATTAGTTATTGATTCTGCAAGTTGGGGTGACTTCCATAGGATTTTCTACATATATAACCAAGTCATCTATGCATGTATCAGTTTAAACCATTTAAATTATACAGATTGTACAGCCCATCTCTACCAAGGGTACTTTAGACATGCACAACTTGATTTATTTAAGTATTTAATCTTCAACTTTCTCTGTTGTTCACTGACCAGAACAGGAAAGAGCTCCTGATCCCTCAAATTCCTTAGTGTTTAAATTATCTAGAGGTGAAAAAGAGCACTGACATAACAGAATAAGCTCACCAATCTTTAGCTAATGGTAACTTCTACTACTAGTTCTGTAGTAGGATTTTACATATCATAATCAATTCTTGGGTTAGAAATAGGCAACAAATATATATAGATTTAAAATATTGTCAATGAGACTGAAGGGGAGATGTACTATCACATGTTGTGACAGATACATAAAACCAGAAATTTAACTTCTACACAATGTCACGAGTTATTATCACTGGAGAAAATTTGTAAATTTTTACCTGTAATGTAATTTTAAACCTCAAAACCAAGGCACTTCATTACAACTTTAAAATTTCAAAAGTTTGATAATTATCTGTATTCACTCAAACATTCTATCCTTATATAAACTAGTTAGTTAGCCAAATCCTACCTTTAGGTAGAAGTGTAAGTGCTATACTGGATCAGAGGATACTAGCTGGTGTCCACTGCTGCAGCACATCTTGTTTGGTGGGAAAGGGAAAAACTCCTACCCACTTGGTTCCAGAAGTGCATTACTGAGTGAGAATATAGGGGAAACTGAGTTTGAATTTGGTTTGGTTCTCTATGTCATTGCTGTCACTTGACTTTAGAAAATACATACAAAATTTAATTTTAAGGCAGAAATATATGTGGCTATAAGCTCTTTGAGGCTGACTTTGTGTAGCAAAAATACTTCTGCCATTATCAGAGCTCGAACTTTTGATTTCTCAGCCACTGGTTAGTCAGGATTTCTTACTTCTACTTAAAAAAAAAACAACAAAAAAAAGAGCGAGGGTACCTTCACTTACTTATAAAAGCCAGATAGGTGAACTGATACTTTGTGTATTTGAATAAAGATTAATCTAGGTTAAAATAATTTATTATATTTCATTCATGATAATGAATTTTTTTATTAAATTTCTTCATCTTTAACAGTAATTCTCTCAAAATAATCTTGGGTAGAGGGAAGATAAGTGAAGAGGGGTGGGTACAGGTAAAAAGACTGCCCATGTAATGATTGTCAACGCCTGGTGTTGATTTATTACATTATTCTCTACTTTCGGAACCACGCTTGGGAAAAAGTTTCAAAGCATTTTATTCACAATGTCTAATGTTCTAAGCATTACTGAAAATCTAGCACAGAACATCAAAATCTAGGTGACTCACCGGACATTTTCTGGTCTGAGTTTATCAAGAACCATCTCTATTAAGTCAGGTCTAAATTCTTCCAGTAAATATTCGGCTGTGAGTACTTCTTCTAGGGGATAATACTTTGAAAAAGGAAAATATAAATAAATAAAATTTGTAAGGTTACCACAGCGCATAGAGTTTAATTTACTAAAGTAAACAGATCTCTAACAAATTGAATCCATTACTTTATACCCCCTCATCCATCTATTAAATTTTACTCCACTGGAGAAATTTCTATAGCCCTGAATCTTCTCTTCTTACTCTCTCTCTCTTTTTCTTTTTTTTTTTTCTCTTTCTTTTTCCATGCTGGGGATTATATCAAGGGCCTTTCATATGCCAGGCAAATGCTTTACCACTGAGCTACATCTGAAGCCCTACCACCCCACATCTTTAACTACTTTAATATTGTGGAAAAAACTTTTGCCAAAAATACTGTTAATCTCCAAGTATATTTTTATTACAGAAAGCAAAATCATATTTCTTTGGAGGAAAAATGTGAGTTAATGTTTCTGGTTAAAAATTAAGTATGGGAAAAAAATTTTAAAAAGAAATTTAAAACACTGAGTATAGGGAGAGGGGAGAAAATAAAAACAATTAAGATATGTTATGTACATGTACCAACTCCCCATGAAGAATGTAATTATGTAAGCACTGCAAACATATACTAATACAAAAGAAAATTAAATTTAAAAAGTAAAAAAAAATTGAATATTTTTAATAAAAAAATTGATAGTGAAATGCTGACACTAAATTTTTAATATAAGATATGCATTTTTAGTTGGGTTTTTTTTTGGTACCAGAGATCGAACTCAGGACCTCGTACTTGCCAGGTAGGAACTGTGCCACTGAGCCCAAGACATATGAATTTTTAAAAACAGAATTTCCTCTCAAGTTTCTATGAATAAAATCACATAAGCACTGACAAAGTTGTGGGAAGAAATAGATTACATTTTTGTCTCATTTGCCAAAATAATGTAGAAGATGCTTTTTAGCAAAAGCAACTTCCAATGTGCTTAGACAGATTGATTAATTAAAAAAAAATGAATGAACACCTACCTTGTGCCAGACACTGTTCTAGGAACTGTGGAAACAATGGTAAATGCTTCCAAGAAGCACGTGTTATAATTGAGATGGAGTGAAACAATAAAGGAACAGATATTGTCATTTTAATGATAGGTACAATTAAATAAACAAACAAAAAAGGAGGAGGGGCAGGGGCATTATTTTAAATTGAGAAGCCACAGAAATTCTTTGTCAGGAGATATCTGAGTGGAGTTTCAAATGATGAGGAGAACCTAGCCATGCAAAGATCCAACAGAAGAATGTTCCATGTAGAGAAAAGAGCAAATGTAAAGGCCCTAAAAGGGAAGAATATGCTTAAAGTTTGAAAATTAGACAGAAAGCCAGCCTAGGTAAACAGAATGGGAGCAATAGACTGGAGAATGGGATGTGGAATGTGGCCACAACAGTAGGCTGCAACTGATTTATTTTGTAGGCCAAGGACAATTTTGGATTTTATGTAACTCTGAATGACTTTAAAGAGAAGAGTGGAACAATCTGATTTTAGTTTTCAAAAGATAACTAAAGGTGGGAAATAAAGTTCAATGGGGGACAAGGTAGAAAACAGGGAGCTAGGTAAGAGGCTATGATTTTAGTCTAGGAAAGAAATGACAGTAGATGGTGCAGAATAGGGTGGTAAAAAAAGAAATGGAGAAAAGTAACTGATTTAAGCTTAGCTGTCACAAAGGTAGCATTTGACATATTGTAGAACTGAAAAATATTTTAAGGCAATAAGCAAAATGGCTATAATGAAAATACTACAGGTGATAACTTTTAAGGATGAAGAAAATTAAGATTTTTACACATATCTCGTCCTCAAAATTCACCCAGTTTCTATAGTCTAAATTTTATCATTATGTAGCATCAAATTTTATCATTTGTGTAGTACTGAAAGTAACATGTGTATAATATGAAATATTCTATACATTAATAATATGTAGGAAAAAGCAAAATAACCACAAACTTACATGTAGCATTCCTGCAATCTTAGATGTATAGCCCCGTGGCCTCTCTTTGTCTTTAAACCTAAAAGCAACTGCATTCAAGTCCTAAAATTGAAAATTAATCCCAATTAGACATGAGTTAACTATTATTTACAAAAACATTTTAAAGTGTTTTTATTCCATATTCACCTTCATCACACTTTCTGAAAAAATGGCTATCCTGATTTAGAAATGTACAAAGCATGGAAAGAAAATTTCTTAATGTTTATAAAATTCAACCCATCAATCTGGCTTAAAATCAATGTAAAGTAGGTAAATAACTCTGAATGAAAACAAATAACGAATACAAAATATGATTCTACTGGCTGAATTGTTGAAACTATTAGTCAACAAATTAAATTTTAAAAGTGATGTGAAAGAACCTGGAGAGATTCAGTAATTCCACAGATTACGATTTGATGATGCATACAAAGAAATGCAGCAAAATTAAATTACCACAATCTTTAAATTATTACCTATTTAAAGAGAATTCTTCTCAACCTAAGATGCATTTCAGAATCTTGATAGGCCTTATATACAAAGTACGTATTTTTTTAAAAACTTATTTAAAGGAAGCTTTTAAAATTCTGAAAGACAAACACCTTTTGTGTTATGAAAGAAAAAAAAAGATAGTGAGGCTTTCCTTTACACACAATAATAAAGTCACTTTTAGGAACACAATCATACATAAAACCATTCACTATTTCTTTAGAGTTCACTACAGACTTTTATGACCAGATTTGAAAATGACAGATTTCATGCAGCTTTAGGCAGGGAGTAACGGAAGTAAAAATATCAACTTAACAAACTGTTGGTTTTCTTCTATGGGATAGAAAAGCAATATATTTTCTTTCCTTTTTCCTCCTAAAAAAGGCAACATTATGCCTTTACCTTTACTTGTGCCCCAAGCAGCAAATCAGGCTAATACAACTAAGCCTTAACTAATTAGGAAAAAAAAACCAAAAAACTTTGAAAGTTTAACTGGGCCTTAAATTTAAATTATTTCACATATATCTGTTTTTGAAAAATAGATTCCTTAAGAAAAATTTTGGTGAAACAAAAGTACCTTGCACTCTTGGAAAACCCATTCTTGAGGTCCTTCTGCACGTAACTTCTGAATGTATTGAAACATGTGCAAAATTATATCTTCAACATGTACTGGAAAAAAGGGGCACACTTAAGAAGCATTCAGTCCTCAAATCTTTCAAAGCAGTGAGCTCACTCCTAAGGTAAAGTCAGATAAGTGGAAGATGGTCTCTCTTAGAAAATAAGAGTCCTCACCTCCTTGAGACCGGTTTTAGGTGTTCCATACATGGCCCTCTGGGCACAGGACACGTGACTGACAGGGTATTGGAGAATACATAAGCAAATGCAAAGCTAAGTGCACATTTTATAAGCACAGCATAAAGTTAAGAGGGGGAGTCATCCACAAAACAAAGGCCAAATTACATATGAAAAATACAATGGATAAACTGTAGAAATTAAAGTGTTTATAACCTTTAATCCCAGTACTCTGGGAGGCTGAGGCAGGAAAACTGCAAATTCAAGCCCAGTCTGAGCAATGTAATAACTTGGTAAAACCCTGTCTCATAATAAAAAAGTAAAAAAAGGGGTGGGAATGTAGCTCAGTGTAAAGGTCCTGGGTTCAATCCCCAGTACTGAAAAAAATAAAATGAAATAAAGTGTTTGCTGGGTATGGTGGTGCACGCCTGTAATCCCAGCATTTGGAAAGATGAGGTGGGAGGATCACCACAAGTTCAAGGCCAGCATGGGCTACATAGTGAGTTCAAGGCCAGCCTGAACTACATGGTGAGACCCTGTCAGTGAAGTGAAGTGAAGTAAAATAAAATAAAATGAAGTAAAATAAAATGTGCTTATAACTTTTCAACATGAAATAGGTCTGCAATATAAAGAAACTTAAAAATTATAGGAAGTCAGTTTTCATTCAAAAGCAAAATGGTCATTCAATACTTACATAATCCTTCCTCAGTTAAGTCCACATTAATGATAAAAAACATAAAACCTCTGGCTCCTTCCTTTTGTCCACCAACCAGGGTATTTACCCAGCCTGCAACATTCAAAGAAAATCAATACGATTACATGTGTGGCTTCTTTCAAGACATGGAAATTACAAATTCTTACTACTGCTGGGCATGGTGGCACATGTTTGTAATCCTCGTATTAGGGAGGCTAGAGGATTGCTGCGAGTTTGAAGCCAGCCTAGGCTACATAGTGAGTTCAAGGCCAGCCTGGACTACACAGTGAGACCTTGTCTCAAAAAAATCAAAAAAGAAAAAAAAAATTCATACTATCTGCTCCAGATTAGAATGGAATTCTTGCACGGGAAAAAATAAAATCAGTTCAGAATAGTTTCAGACAAAGGTTTTACGGGATAGAAGCTTTCCTAAGGACTCCTCAAATCAACTCCCAATCAAGGGGAGATTATTATGCTTAAGTGTTTTTGTGCCCCCCCCCCCGTATTGAACTCAGGACCTTGCGCTTGCCAGGCAGGTGAGGCGCCACTGAGCTATATCCCCAGGCCTTCTGCTTAAGTGTTATGTAAAAGCAAAGAGTATGAGATAGTATGGGCCTTGGAAATCAACTACTATCTAGATCTTACTCCTTTCTGATCTGATGTATCAGAGAAGGCAAATAAATAACATGTACTGACATTTCAAAGAGAAAGTAAAGAATAACGAATGTGGCTTTTATTTTTTTACTTCCTCATTTAAAACATGGCTGGGAATAGCTCAGAGGCAGAACATTTGCCTAGAATGCGCAAAGCCCTTTAGGTTTGATCCCCAGCAGCATAAAACTAAAACAGAAACAGAAAAATTTGCACAATGATATCTTTTGTAACATCTAAACTTTACTGCTCCATACTGAAGGCAAAGGGAGGGTACTTGCCTATAATCCCAGGACTCGGAAGGCTGAGGCAAGAGGATTGCTGTGAGTTTGAGGCCAGCCTGAACTACAAAATGGGAGACCCTGTTTCCAACAACCCAAACAAACAAACAAACACTTAAGAATAACCAAAATCATTTTAAAAAGTCAGTCATGGTAGTGCACACTTATAATGCCAGCTACTCAAGAACTAAGTGGAGACCAAGTTTAAGGCCATCCTGGGCAATTTAGCAAGATCATGTCTGAAAACAAAATTTAAAAAAGGACTGGGGCTATTGTGTATCACAAACATACACTAATTTAAAAAAAGAAAAAGGGTTTGGATCATAGCTCAGTGGTAGAATGCTTGCACCTGCCTACCATGCACAAGGTCCTGGGATCTCTCTTAACACACACACACACACACACACACACACACGCACGTGCACACACACACATACACAAAGGCAGCACACTGTAACAATCACCGCTTCAGTTCACTAACCCTAAATGGTCTCATCTAAAAATGTTCCTTCACAGGAAAATATTTAGGAGAAAATAAGAGCCAGAGTCAAAGATGTAGCAGGGTACAACATTCAGAAAATGCTGCCCCAGAAACTTACCCTTTGATTTAAGTTCTGATAACAGACTTCCAGGACCTTCATGCCCAATCAGATGACCAAGATAATGACCTGGATTTGACTTGTAGTACTTCTGAAGGTCAGGTATGGGAAATGTCACATACAGATTCCTAATATCCTTAATGGGCACTACTTTATAAAGTTGCTGGGGAAAAAAATAATAATGAAAGAGTCACTAAGAAGAATTCCTACTGAATAAAATTATTTACAAATTATGAGGAATATGGATTTTCATGCAAGAATCCCAAATTGATGGGCAAATCAACTGCCAGACACAAAGAATAGCCTGTAAAGAAACAAATGAATTAGGCTCTTAGTGGAATTCCATTATAGTGGGTAAACTATCCAGTTTGGTTCCCTAGTCCCTTTTGGATGCTTGCATTCTGGCACTAGAGAATAGCTTCCAATAATCTGCCAAGGCTATAGCTACCAAAACTATTTTTAGCATGAAGATCAGAACATGCTGATATTATTTGATGATACATGCTCCCAATAAACATAAAATTCATTTGGTTATCCTGACAAATATTCAAAACTACGTAAGTAATGACAACTCCCCAAATTTTCATCTATTTCATAATAAACTGCATATGACATGTCCATAAATTTTTTTAAAAAACCCACAAGTACATGCACTTACTTTAAGATGTTCTTCTTGAAATGGATGCTCAGGAAATTCTGGCAACGGGACATTTTTATTCTCAACTTCAGAAAATAACTTTATTACCAGATTAGTTAAGTCATCCAAAGATTCTACAAGAAAACAGACAGTGAAACTTAAGAATAGGTAGCATTTAAGACTTTAGCATCTCCTCAAAAGTCTCAAGGCTTTTAAAAGAAAACTGCTTTTGACAAAGACAAATCAGTTAAATTCTATTATTTATATAACTTGTAAAATTGCTAAGCAGTACCGATAATAATTATGCTTAATCTGTATTTATTTCTATATACTGTAAAAATTTAAATATGCAGATATTCATATTAATATTGTTTCACAAATATTCTTATAGAAACTTAAACATTAGAAACAATAATAGAACACTAAGTTGTATTTGGAAAACTGATTTACCTCTAATGCCCAATAGGCACATACTAAAATATGAGTAGAGATTATAACATTCACCTTTAGACATAGTCTAAGCCCACTGTTAAAAGTCAGTGTTTGGTCCGGGGACTTAGCTCAATGGTTCCGCCACCTGCCTTGCAAGCGCAAGGTCCCGAGTTCGATCCCCGGTACCAAAAAAAAAAAAGTTATAAACTTCAGTTTATTATTATCTCCTTTTTATTTTGTTTATGGTTTTTCTGAACTGTTACAAGTTCAAATATGTTAATATTTCTTCAAGCTTTCTTCCCTTACTTTTATATGGTTGGAAAACCTACTAGTAATTTTTATGTTCTCCAGATCTTTATTTAAACGCATCTCAGTGTCTTTCTGGAATACAATGTGTCAAAAATAAAATTCTCGGGGCCGGGGATTTAGCTCAGTGGTTTCGCCCCCTGCTGCGCAAGCGCAAGGACCCGAGTTCGATCCCCAGTACCAAAAAAATAAAATAAAATAAAATAAAATTCTCATCTATGAATTCAACAAGTAGATCATTTTCAAAACACAGAACAAACAAGCAGGTATACCTTACACCCCTCTTCCAATACTTTGAAAAATGTCAACATGGAAAAATCCAATTCCAATTCCATGAAAATTTTAAAGAATTCTTACCTCGACCTAAAACACAAATAGCCATTAAGTTGGATGAGTAATAAGTAGAATGGAATTTCAGTAGCTCTTGCCTTACATCAATGCCTTCTTGGTTGGGTCGAGTCTCTAGAGTATATTTGTTACCTGGAAGCAAGAGGAAGCATTTCTTAGAAAAAGCAGAATTTGTGCACTTTACAGCATTAATTATTACTGACACTACTACAGAATATAAAAAACAGATTTCAAACCAAGATACACAATGGTCAAATATGTTTCAACATAAGGTACATTATCAGGATGATATAGTGCAAATTAGTACCTAATCTTTTTTTTAAATACAGGGTCTCATTATGTCATTCAGGCTGGCCTTAAACTCATTATGTAGTTCAGGCTGGCCTCAAACTCATGGCAATCCTCCGGCCTCAGCCTCCCAAGTGCTGGGATTACAGGCGTGCACCACCACACTCATCTTTACTACCGTAGTATCTTAAACTACATTTTTCCCTAAGGAACTAAAGGTGCTTTATAAAAATATGATCCTTGCCGGGGATTTAGCTTAGTGGTTCCGCCACCTGCCTCGCAGGTGGAAGGACCCAAGTTCGATCCCTGGTACCTAAATAAATAAATAAATAAATAAAATAAAAATATGGTCCTTAAGATCCCTATAAGTATTATGAGCAGTTTTAAGACAAAATGGGATCCACATGGCCTCTATTCACACTTAACTTTAATTTCAATTCTCTGTGTGCCCTGTAATTAATTGAACAGAGTTACTGAGGGATCTTTTTAGAACTTGCCAAATTACTTGTGGAAAGAAAAGAAAAAACTTACTATTTTGACCTGAGCATTACATTTGTGATGTGAATTTTCATGAATGTGTTCTAGACTGGTAATATATGTGCTGCCGAAACAAGCACTGATCTAGCCTGGTAAAAATAGGATGCAGTGCTATTTTTATAAATCTCAAGTGATGTATATAGTATTCCTCTATGAGCTCTCATGAAATTTTAATAACCAATTAAGACATAATATACAGTCAAAAACTAAAAGTGCACCTCTGTAAGTACTATCTTTCTAAGACTGCAAATTAGGGACTAGGAAATGAGAAATTTCAATGATTGGTATGGTATCTCTCCAAAATGGCATTTGACTGGAAATATCCTAATATAGTAGGTAACTCCTCCATTGCTTCTGCTTGCACTACTAAATGGGATCCTGTCTCTCTCTCCTGCAGATATGAAACTGGTAGAAGATATTCTTGGTGTTTTGTTTTGTTCTGTTTCTATAATGGCTGATGAACTGGCACTGGGAGAATATCCTTCTCTCACTAACTTGGGTGTCTACAGAAAGCCACCAGATGGCATTCTCAGATCCAGTCGTCAGCTCAGTCACTGTTGCACAGACCTGAGTCAAGATTCATGTCCCAGGATGTTTGAATGAAGAGGTTTTATGAAGAGAGACTGTGTATCAAACAGCTTACCAAGTGGTCATTTGCCCTTTTCTAGTCACAAAGAAATCATATGTATTCATTCATACTCACTAGAACCCAGCTCCCAGGATGTAAATTACTGCTGTCCTCTCCACTAAGATCTAGTTGAATTTCAGATCTGCTCTTCTTAGGATCCTAAGACACCCTCTATGTGGTGGGTTCAGGTACTCTTAAAAACATCAAGTACCCAGATGAGGACTGACCTTTTCCTTACCTCAAAGCCATCCCATTTACTCTAAGATCCTGAACCACAGGGACATCTTGAATAGACAGGTTCCTTCTCCCCTGTAGCCTGTTTGGAGCTAAACACTTAGAACTATGTATATTACATTACTTAAGCGAACAGATGAATATATCTATATACACATCTCTAGTACCAACTCCTCAGGGGGCAGGGAGGGGTCCTTTGCTGGTGAGTAGTTTGAAGTTCTCTCATATCTATGAAATATGAGTCCTGATGGTGTCTCCCCCCTTCCACTAAATGAAGATTTGAAAAGCCTCAGTACCAGAGGGACTTGTCCTTAGAGGTTCCTTAGTCCTTTACACTGCCAAGCTCAGATTCTTACAATAAGTAGAGTAAGACTGACACATTATGACACCCAAGTTTTAGAGAATTAAGCTTTATTTCAACAGACTATGTGAATATAAAAATATGTTACAGTGTTAGGTCAAAATTAGGTATTTGGTCTAAATGTGATCTGATTTGCCTATTCACAATAACATCAATATCTTGATGGGGGGGTAACTGGGGATCGAACTCGGGACCTTGCGCTTATAAGGCAGGCAGCAGAACTAATGAGCTACATCCTCTACCCCAATATCTTGATTTTTAAAAATTTAAAACTTCAAATCAAAGCTTATGAAAACCAAGATCATGGCTTTCATTTAAAACTTAAAAATTTGTGGGCCAGGGATTCAGCTCAGTGGCACTGAGCCTGCCCTGTAAGCACAAGGTCCTGAGTTTGATCCCCGGTACCCTTTCTACCCTTTAATTTTAGGCCCATTTTAAAACACAGAAAATAAAAGCAGGAATATACCCCAGACATACTAAGACATTGCTCACTTGCAAAACATTGACAATGCTATATTAAAATGAGCCAAACAGAGCAAACCCCTTGCCTAGACTAGGAGTGGGGGAAGCCAAGGGACCACTGTAGAATAACAGAGCAAGGAAACTGAATAATTTACTGCTCATAAGCAAAGGTGTGGGTAACCTCACAGCCTTAAGGCTGAATGAAAGAAGCAGGACACAGAGTATACAATCTATAATTTAATTCATATAAAGCATTAAAGCAGGCAAAACTCATATAGGTTATTAAGAGATCAGAATAGAGCTTAGCAATGTGTGGGTGGGTATTGGGTACAAAGGGGTACAAAGAAGACTAGTGAAGAAATCTTTTGTTCCTGGCTGGCTGTTGGTTCCCTAGTGTACTTAGTTTTTGAAAATTAAATGGTTCGTATATAAGTAATAAAAGTACAATCACTCAATGGATTCAAGTAACATCACAAGTAAAAAAATAATTTATCAGTCACAAACACTTTTCTGTATGTTTACTATACTTTAATCAACTATTTAAAAAATACACTAGGAATATAGTTCAGTGGTACAGTACTTGCCTAGCATTCTCAGGGGCCCCACACTGAAAAAAAAGAGGAGGAGGAGGGGAGAAAGAGATGAGGAGGAGGAGGAAAGGAAAGGAAAAAGGAGGAGGTGTTGTTAAGAGCAACCTGGCTTTCGCTAGTCCAAAAAAAATCTAATGATAATAGATCTCTGGTCAAACTGCTAAACAGAGCCTCAATTTAGGCAAAAAAGCGGTTTTACAAAAGACACATCCCACTCCTTTCCTGCCTAGATATTTTCAGTCTTTCTACACTTGATCTTGTCAAAAGGTTGAGAAGGAATTCATTCTAATAATTGATGGTTATAGCAAAGTGGTCCATTTGGTAACAGCCCAGAGTGGCAGTTCTGTATTCCTTAGAAGCACTTAGAGGAGTCAGTTCTCCATTATTACTCTCAGGACAGTCAGTTCTCAGTACACCGACAAAGAAATAATGGATATTGGGCACAAATGAGTCACAGACAGAACCAGTCTTGATATAAGTTTATTAACCCTTTTATAAAAAATGCTTTAGAAGCATTTACTAAAAACAAGAAGGCTGGCTGACTTTTATTTTTACAACTCTATATTTTAATGGAAGTTTTGAAGAAACAGTTATAAAGGAAAAGAAAGCAAAAGCATAAAATTCCATACTTAGGTCTTAAATTACCAAGCAGAGTGTTACCATCGGTGCCATGATCCCTAGGTAGTGAGATGGAGAGGAAGAGGTATTGGCTTTGGTGCCAAAAGAATTATAACTTAATATGGGGTCAGGCATCTTCTGGGTGCATGACCTTGAGCAAGTTACTTTACTTCTCTTGAGCTCAATATCCTAACCTGACATTGGCAGGCTTATATTAAATTTAAAAAAATACATATAAAAATGCAAAAGACAAATATTTAACATCTAATGAATGGCAAAAAATGCAAAGTCTGATAATATCAACTGATATTTAGGATGCAGAGAAATAAGAATGCAGACATTGCTTGAGGGAGTACATACTGGATCAACCACCACAGAAGTAATTTGTCAATATCTAGTGAATCTGAAGATGTACATATCCTACTCCACAGCAATTCCACTCCTAGATATATGTACCCCAGGAAACTCTATGTACAGGGAGACATGTAAAAGAATGCTTGTAGCAACACTGTTCCACTAAAAGAAAAATGGATAAATGGTGGTAGTTATTTCATGAATTTTTCAAATAGCAATACAGATGTAAAAATTATCAGTGTGGATAACTCTTACAAATATAATGTTGAATAAAAAACACAGTGGCAGATGTTACACACAATAAAATACAATTTTTTATAAAACTATAAGCATGGGAATGATAATTACCAAACTTAAGATAATGGTTATCTGTCAGGAGCAGGGAGAATTATCTGGCAAACACCTATGCACCTACCTGTTTGTATTTAACATAATACTCAATGTGTAGCAGAAACAGAAAATAAACATCAACTGCTGCTGCTAAAATTTGAATTACAGCAAGGACTCCCAGCTTTTTTTCTTTCAGAAACCCAGGGCCTTTGCCCTGAGCTACATCCCCATTCATTCATTCATTCGATACAGGGTCTTGCTAAATTGCCCTGGCTGGGCTAACTTGCAATACTCCTGTCTCAGCCTCCCAAAGTGCTGGGCACGCGAGCAACACAATGCCCAGCTGGCTCTTGGCTCCTGAGTAAACCATTAAACAAAATGATGCAAATATCAAACAAACAAACAAACAAAAGACTCGGTGGCTAGAAAAGTAGGGAAGAGGGGCCAGGGATTTAGCTCAGTGGTTTTGCCGCCTGCTGCGCAGGGGTGAGGGCCTGAGTTCGAGCCACAGTACCAAAAAAATAAAAAAGAAAGAAAGAAAAGTAGGGAAGAAAGCTAAGTAAATGGTCCATATGATTTCTTCCTGCACCTAAAAATTCATGTGTGGAGAACAATGTGAATATGGCTGTGATAACAAATACCAGTTCAGTCTCTAGACACATAGCATTCTAACTTAGTGCTAATTTGGCTGGGTCATTTATATCAAATTTAAATGCTGCTACTAAAATCT